GGTAGGCGTAAGAAAAAAGCCAAAACAAACATAGGGGTTACAGAAGATAAAGGGGAGGGAAAGCAATACATAATTATTTACTTTAGTTTGAGTATACACATACATGTTTTACAAGTTATATGTGATTTGTTCATTATATGCAGACATTACAGTTTTGCACAGTTAGCTACATTTATGTGAGGTGTAATGTATAAGGTATGGTGTTGTATATACCTTTAATTAGCAAAAGTAGCATTTTATGAACAGTCATTGTTTGTATGTCGGTGCATAAATTTAGGAAGGCGGAATGCTTATGTGTTGCACTTTGGTTTCAAATAAAGTGATTGACATATTCAGTGGTGGTGTTTACAATGCAACGTCATCTACTTTGGCTCATTGAAGCCTGAGAAACTGAGGGTAACCAGGGTAAGGGGGTGGTGTTGGGAGAAACAGTGGGGGGGAGGGAATGTGGTTAATAGATGTCTTTCTTATCTGAGGGAGTGTGTTATCCCACATGTGGGTTTGTGTATTTGGTTGGTGGAGGCTTATTAGTTACCTATGTTATGTTGTAGTTTGCCCTTTGAAGTCTGAGGTATGTGTCGGTACTTGTTGTCACCATGTTTCCCATTTGTATCATGCTATTGGGCAGAATTTTTTTGCTGTTTGCATTCTCCTTGCAGTTTTTTCGCATTTCTTGATGGTGTCGACCATCTCTACACACTGTTGTGTGCTAGGGGTCGTAGTCTTCAGCCAGTGTCTACTTATAGCCAATAAGGCAGTAATGATAATATGGTATGCGAGATATGCATCCTCTTTTGTCAGTGTTTGGGGCCATGCTAGCAGAAGGTATGTTGTTGGTGTGTGGGGTAGTCTCACACCCATGGAACCCTCGATAATGTTTGATATTCCCAACCAGAGTGCCATCAGCTTCGGGCATGCCCACCAAATATGTGTCATGGTACCGGGCATATCCCCGCATCTCCAGCAGGTTTCATGTTTTGTGCCATCCATCCTATATAGTTTAGAGGGCACCATATACTAGCAGTATAGTATTTTCCTGCTTATTTCCATGTGTGCTGTGTTTAGTGTGAGGGTTTTGTGTGCTTTCTGTACCTGCGACCATTCCTCAGGTGTTAGAATTTGGTTAAGCTATTTTTCCCATGCTTTCATAAAAGTAAGCTTTTCTTTATGATCTGGATGTCTAATCAGTTTATACAGAGTAGATAGTAATCTTTGTGGTGGTTTCTCTGCTATACATATTTGTTTAAGTGTGTTGCCCTGGGTCTGTTTCTCGTTATAGTGTTTATCTACCCTCGATTTCATTTGCATATATGAGAAGAGGGTTTTGGGTGGGAGATTGTATTTGCTTTTTAGTGTGTTGTAATTTGTCATATGTCCGTTTGTCAGTGTTTGTGATAAGTGTGTAACACCATGTGAGTTCCACGTTCTGTGGTCAAACCCTGGGATAAGAACTGTTAAGGCTTGGATTTGCAATGCTTTGGAAATGAATGGTTCCGGGTGTTGTTTCTTGAAGATATTATCCCATACCTTGAGTGGCTGCTTCATAGTATCATGAAATGCTTGGCACTCCCATGCCTCTGTCTCTAAATGGTCTGCACAGGCTCTTTTCCCTCCCCATATAAAGCGATTCAGGGATCGTTGGGCATCTTTGAGGAACTGCTTTGGAAGAGCTATTTGTAAAGTTCTAAAAAGGTATTGCAGCCGTGGCAATACCATCATTTTTGCTGCTGCTATTCTACCTTTCCACAATACTTATTTTCCCTTCCAGCTCTGTAGTTGGTTCTCTATTTCTTGGAGTAGTCTCACATAATTGTATTTATATAGCTTGTGTGTGGTTGGTGTGAGTGCTATTCCTAAAAAGGTAAGATGGTCATGTCTCCAGTCATACGTGTGTTTGTTTTGTAGGTTTGTAAGTCTTGTATTTTGTATGTTGAAGCTCATGGCTTGTGTCTTGGTAATGTTGAGTTTGTAGTAGGAGCATTTACTAAACTTTGTTATTACCGATTTTAATGTTGGCAAAGATAGTTCAGGTTTAGTCAAGGTGAGCATCATATCATCAGCAAAAAATGTTATTTTGTATGTTTTGTCTCCTTTGTCTATCCCGTATATATCGTGGGTTTCTCTGATGTGTTGTGCTAGCGGTTCCAGTGCTAATATGTATAGCAGGGGTGACAATGGGCACCCCTGTCTGGATCCATTTGATATGTGGAATTGTTTGGAAACGAATCCTGCGTTAACCACTTTCGCTGTTGGTTTATCATAAAGGGCTGTGACCAGTGTAAGAAATCGCAGAGGAAAGGCATATTTTTTCAGGACAGCTTCCAGGTAACCCCAGTGCAGCCTGTCGAACGTTTTTTCCCGCTTCTAGTGACAAGGCCATATTAGGCTCCCGAGTCCGCTGGATTCTGTGAATGAGGTTAATTAATTTCCGGGTCCCATCTGAGCCTTGCCTAACTCTAACGAATCCTACCTGGTCGTCTTTTATAAGGGTCGGCATGATATCTCCAAGTCGAGTTGCATAGATTTTTGCCAGTACTTTCAGATCAGTATTTAATAGCGATCTTGGGCGTAGGTTCTGGCATTTATTTGGCGGTTTGCCTGGTTTGGGCAATGTTGCTATGTGGGCTATCAGCATCTCTTGGGGTATGGTGCCTTCGTGCAGTACATAGTTATATAATTTTTGTAGTTGGGGTGCCTGTATGTGTGAGAAGGATTTGTAATACATATGTGTGAACCCGTCTGGTTCTGGGGATTTCCCCTTTGGAAGAGTTTTTATTGTCTATAGGACTTCGTTGAGCGTAATGGGTTCTTCTAATTTTAGTTGGTCATCTCGGGTTTGGTTAGGCAATTTTATTGCTGCTAGAAATTTTTCTGTCTGATGGAAGAGGTTGGTATGTGTCGCTGTCCATTTTTAAGTTATAGAGTGTATTGTAGTAATCTGCCATCATATTGTTTATGTCTTGTGGGTTATATACTTTATTGCCTTGTGTGTTTAGGAGGAAGGGTATTTTAGCATTTTGGTGTTTCTGCCTGAAGAGTGATGCTAATGCTCTCCCCGCTTTGTTGCTTTGTGTGTACGTGTTTAGTTTAAGTTAATTTGTGATGGCTATAGTTTTTTTCATTCGTATGTCATGTATTTGGCTTTGCAGTCATTGTATATGTTTTTTTGTTTCTCTTGTGTTGGTTGTAGTGTTTGAGCTGTTGTTTCGTCTCTAAGGGATCTCAGTAAATTTATATACTCCTGGTTTGATTTGCGTTTGAGGTGTGATGCTCTGCTGATGAGATGTCCCCGTATGACTGCTTTATGGGCTTGCCATGTCGTAGTAGGTGAAGTGTCCGGTGTTTCATTTTGATGAAAATATGACTTCAGTTCTGCTGTAAGTGTGCATTTGAATACAGGGTCATTTAAGAGGGTGTCATTCAGACACCATGGTGTTGTTCCTCGAAAGGGAAATTTGTCTCTTAACGCCATCCATACTGCTGCATGGTCTGACCATGTTATATCGCCTATGTTGCTATTTGTCGCATGCGGCAGTAGGTCCCCTGTTACTAGTATGTAATCAATCCTAGAGTATGTGCTATGAACTGATGAGTAAAACGTAAATTCACGGTCATTTGGATGATGTGTTCTCCAAATGTCACAGAGTCCATACTCTGAGATTAATCGTGTTAGTGTTGCTGTTTGTTTACGTAGATTTTTGTGTCTAGGTGATGTGCTTAATAGAGTTGTGTCTAATTTTGGTTGTAGTATATGGTTAATGTCTCCACATATGATTGTTGGTGTATGGCTTATGGTTGGTAGTTTTGAGAAGACTCTCTGTAGGAAGTTTAGTTGATTGTCGTTTGTCCCATATACACTTGCCAAAAGATGCTGTACATTATTCAGTTTACAATGCAATATAACATATCTACCCCACGTATCTCTTTTTAATTGTAAAAGTTCAAATGTTATTGACTTGTGTATGAGTATTGAGACACCTCTAGATTTAGAGGAGTATGTTGAGTGGTATTGCACAGGGTAGTCTCTATTTGCAAAGGTCGGTACCCTGCTGTGCACAAAATGCGTTTCTTGCACACAAAGTATGTCCGTTTTGTTGCATTGTGCTTCTTCCAACAGGAGTCTGCATTTGTGCGGCGTGTTCAGTCTGCGTGCGTTAATTGTTTGTATTTTCATATCCTATCAGTGGTTATGTAGTTTATTGCTGGGTATGTTTGCGTACGCCAGTTTATCACCTCACCATGATTATCATGGGTTGGTACTATGTAATCGCAGGTTGACATAATCGATTTTTTGCAGCTTTGTCACATCGTGGTATGTGGGCCTGCTATTTTGTGTGTAACTTGGTTACCACATTTATATTTCAGACGTGTATTAATGTGGGTTTCTTGTATATGTCTGACCGATTTAAGGATGTTTCTAACTTGGAATTTGTGACTTGGGGGTTTGGGGTAACTATGTACAATGCGTCTCGTTGTGAGACAAAGTGTGAGAATATCACATCGTGTGGGTTGGAGTGTTTGGGTTTCTCCATTTACATGGCCATTGGGCGTTTGCTATAAGTGTTGCTGCAGCTCTCTTATTCACATGTGGTTTACATTTGCGGGTCCCATTCCTTGTAGTGTCCTGGAGTAGGGTCTGTCCGGTCACCCCTGTTCCCATTCATGGTGTGTTTTGTCTGCTTTTGTGGTCAGAGTGGCGTTAATTTAGTGGGTCATATTATATGGAAAGTCCCTATTTGCATCGTACTTGTGGGTAGGGGTGTATAGGTTGGTGTGGGGGGATAACATGAATGCATTTATACCTTAATCACGTAGTACACTGTGAAATCCCCTCTCTCCCATCCCATCCACTCTGTCACCCATCCCCTAGTTTCACATCATTTTATCCCACATTTATAGTAATTTCTCGCCTCATCTGGTGCCTCTTTAGGTTAGTCCTTGCATATGTTGTCACCCTTAAAGGCATCTCTAGACTATTTGTGGATATCTTGCTGATTTAATTATGTGTCCCTGTTTTCCAGGTGTTGGGCCACTTCCGTGTTCCGAGAAGGGGTGTCAGGATGTCCCATATTTGTTCGGCGAGGTCTTAAGTCTCTGTTAGTGTCTGTTAGTGTGTAGGTGTCCTTACCAGAATCTGCCGCAGCTCCGGGTTGCGGCCTCAGATCCTGGTCTCCCACGATATAGCCACTGCTCTGCTTTAGCCTCATCACAGGGATGGTGGAAGCACCGGATCCGGCAGCTGGTGCGGAGCTGTTTGCCCACTTCTTCTTGGGTAGAGAATTCAGTAGGTATGCGAAAGAGAGCATGCTCAATAGGTATTTATGCATAGCTTCATGTTGCAGTGTTTGTTGGATAAATCATCAAGACTGAATTGCTGAACCAGGTATCGTCTGGTGTTTAACTTTTCTTTGAGGTCTTTTCCCAGTCTGGAAAAGCGAATTTTCCCGCTTTTGTTGGTGTTTTGGGGGTATCCAGCGTTATTGGTATGTCCCAAGTATTTAGCTGTTTTATGCCCTCTTCAGGAGTGGTTATTGTTATTGTTCTTCCATCTTTTGTAGCTAGAAGTTTGGTGGGGAATCCCCATCTATAGCGGATGCCATGGGCCCTCAAGGCTCCGGTCACTTGGGAGAATTCCTTTCTCCTTTGGAGTGTTGCGGCCGATAGATCTGCGTATATCCTTACTGTGGAGTAATCTTCCGGTGGTTTAGCTCTCATTCTGATACTTTTAAGGATATGTTCTTTGATGTGAAAGTAATGAGCTCTCAGTAGTATGTCTCTTGGTGTCGTTGGAGGAAGATGGCGAGGTTCTGTGATGCGGTGCACTCTATCGATTAGCAGCATGTCTGCTGGTATCTGCGGTGCATGAACCTGTAATAGCCCTCGAACATAGGAAGGTAGGTCGTTGTTGCTGATCTCCTCCGGGACTCCCCTTAAGCGTAGATTGTTCCGGTGGGAACAATCTTCTATGTCCGCCAGATTTTCTTCCATGCTGTTTATTCGTGCTGTTAGTTGTTCCACATTTGTCCTCCATGTTTGTTGTCCGCTTCCCCAGCTCTTGTATATCTTTTCTCATAGAATCCACTGTATGCTGCCATGTTATCAGTTTGAATAGGTCAGCTTTAGTGAGCTGTGAGCTAGTCCCGCATGCATCTGGGCTCGAGCTTTGCATGCTTTCATCTGACTCCGAGGCCTCGTTGTTAGTTGAGGCCTCTCCCGCTGTGGGCGCAGAGGCCGATTTTTGATTGAAGAAGTTGAGTTTTTCATTTTTTGTCGAGCTCTTCTTTTTTGTTGTGACATGTTTGTTCAAGGTCGTTGGGATCCGTGGATGCAGCGTATTTTAGTAAGCTTGCTTTAGATTTAATGCCCAGGTGCCGGAGCAAATTTCTATGCTGCCATCTTGCTCTGTGGTTGGCCACGCCCCGTCACAAATGTATTTTAATAAAAAAAGCTTTACTTTGGCTAAAATTGTATTATTCAGTTGTCCATTCACCACCATTTGCTATGCACCGAACCACCATACTATGCACAATATTTTAGTAGCTCTGTTTTTTTCCACACTGTACTAGATGTGTACCCACTGTGATGTAGCTATACAGCTATAGCCATCCGAGTTTGTCGTCATCACCTCCATCACTTGTTGATATGTGTGGCTTCTTCTAACTCTAAAACGGTTAAACTTGCAGGTAATATTTTTTAAATCAAATTCTTGAAGGTTTGGTTTGTAATCCTCATAATATGTAGTGCAAAACCTTTACCTATCGATCTAATCAAAAGTTATTAAAGTACGAATTGCCTAAGCTGTCAGCCATTGCACTCTTAGCTCAGTTGTAGCACAAATTGCCTAACATTCTCACTGTTCCTGCAGCTCTGATTTAATTAAACCCTGAGCAGAATTCATCTGGCTACCCCCTCTCCAGTTTCCATTATTGCATTCTCTGAGTGATACACGTTCACAGTTAGTCAATGCTTTTCAGAGTTAACAAATTAACTGTTGGTTGGGGGGCTTGTCATTAAATGATAGACAAACAGAGCTGGGTGATAGATGAAACCTTGTTAAAATCAATTACATTACATATGAATATGACATTGTTTGCAGACTTAAGATATTATTCTCCAAATAAAAGTATTGTTTTATGTTGTCATATTTTCCATTTTTGTAACTCAGTAGTGATTTACATTTCCCTTGCGGGCTTCTGAATGATTGTAAGTAAAGTCAGCATGTCGCAGGAATATGTCATACAATTATTTTAGATTTAATACACTAATCCAATGAAACAAGGTGTGCTGCAGATGCAATTATGTAAACCACTAGCTAGTTTCCAATTTACTTGTTAAATAAAAGTATAAATGTCTAGTGGTCAGCCTTAAATGCATGGCTGTGGGCAAACATAATGTGTTTTCATTGCCTTCATGTACCATTGGAATCATTATGGGGAAACAATATTGCAAGCATTTACACAGATCAGATCAATCTGAAATGTGTTTAAAACAAGATTTCTGCACTTTGAGCTGGCATATACACATTTCTTATATGTAAAGATCATAACTAATGGAGAGGTCTGTAGAGAGAGCCCTGACGCAAGATTTTTTGGGACCCCCTCTAGAGCAAGAGTAGCTAAAAGGTAGATACCCATCTGGTATACAACCCCCACAATGCATTGCCAGCTGCTGATCTACCATTTGCCATTTCTTGCAGGGTATAAGTTGTGGGCAGTGTTTGTGTGTTTCAATGTAAGCATATTTCTATTTGGAATATATGTGTATGCTGAATAAAGGAATATGTAATGTTAGCTTTTTTATGCAGGAGTGTATCTGTATGTATTGTTTGTGTTTGCTGGTGTGCATGCACATATACACACATACACACTGACACAGATAAACATACACAGATACACACACTGACACATATATACACACAAACAGTTATACACAGATATAAAAACTGACACACATATACACACACTGACATATACACACCCACATACAATTCATAACTGCCATGTTTGTGTATTAAGGACTTCAAGTAAATACTTATGTTAACTGCAGGTAAGTCTTTCCTATTACTTTAGAGGAATTCTAACCAATCCCTCCTTACAGAATTACTTCTACTCTGCGACATTCAAGGGCTTCCATGCATAGAGAGAACTCTTCAAGCTCACCCATAATGCTTAAATGTTATTTAGAGCTTGACTTTAAATGAGAACAAATTTCATGTTTTGTATGTTCTGGTTAATCATACCTTGATTAATGTTAATGTTACATGACTCATTATCAGTTCAAATTCAGCTGTTGAACAGATGACCTGACACTGTCCTCACACACATTGCATGGTTGTAGCAACAAAGGCCTTCTGTCCAAATAATCCCAATCAGGACAATACCACCACCGTCTTGCTAAGAATAGGCATTTTCTTTTAAATATCTGTGTTTGTTTTTGTTTGTTTTCTTCTGAGAAATTTAACTTTTACCATTGCATAACCCTAACTTCATCAAGCCTTTCTACATAGAAGGGGAAATAGCTCCATCTTACATCTCCCATATTGCTTTGCTGTCATTGTTACAGAGCATCATAAGAGTCCCAGCTCTGCAACAGCAGGGGTCTGCCTTTTGGTCACTTTGCCATAGAATATTGTCCCAGTAATGTTCTTCAAAAATATAATTATTTTCTTCTAGCTAGCCCCCCTTCAACACCATTCTTGTGCATGTATAAGGACATTAATATTAAAAAAATATATATATTAATTCACAATGTTAGTTAAATGTTAAAGAACAATAAAGAACTTAAACTTCCCTTTTATCCAGCGCCATTCTGGTCTTGGCGCTGCAGCCGCACCTGCTCTTCTGAGATAATTCTGATGAATGCTCTAAGGTCAATCTATAATGTTATCAAAATATTAGTATAGCTACTAGCCATTGCACTTCAATAGCTACACTCAGTCAGTCAGATTATTGTTTTAGAAAAGCAGTGAATCCAATGCCTTTCTACAAGAAGCATTGTGAAAGTCTTCATGCAAAAGTGCCACTAGAGGCAATCTAACAAAAATACATTATGCAAATTCTCACAAATAGCAATGCTTATATTTGTCAAAGTGCATGGTCAAAAGGGTCTTTGGTCGTTACTTTGGGGATCTTTCTGACTTTATGGATAATGTGCAAGTACTTGAAGAATAGTCAGTCTCCTGGGTAGAGGTGCTGTGATCATAAACACAGTTAATTTCTATACCTGTCTGATGGGATGGGAGGGACATCAAATACTTATTGATGGTTTTATTTATTGAAATCTTTAAATTTATCTTTTGTGACATTATTTGCATATGTATGCTTGAACCTAAGCTCATAGAAGCTCTGATTCTTTCATAGCATGGGGCCTCACAATTTCACCACGATTGATATCACTTATAATTCATTTAGATTATTTCACCAGCAGTTTTTTATACTTTTTTTCTTATTGAGTACTCATAGTTTGTCTGGTCTATACATAATTCTGGATTTAATTTAGAAAGGCTATTATGAAAATCTGTTTTTACAATATACATTTAAAAATACCTTCTTACCTGGGTCTGCCACATGCCACTTCCCATCTCCACTAAAGTGAGCAAAGACCAACGGGGGCAAGGCTTAGTTCATTGGCTGATTGTAATTCATTTATGCCATCTGCCAACGAGCTAGCCCTAAATATTAATTGTAATAATTCAGTATCGGTGTAAGTTTTAGACTGAAATTTCACAAAATTTCACAAAACAAGTTATAAATGCAAGGCCGATGGTAAAATGACCAGTGAAATGTAATATATAATTATAACATATGTACAGAATTTTATGAAATGCATTTTCAGCCTATCAAGACACCAAATTTATACCTGCCAATAAATGTTGTTAGCTATTTCTGAAGTGTCTTTTTCATAAGAATATTAATACCTACTCAGAGACCTTGCCAGTATGGAGGAAGAGCTACAATTAACTTTGACATCATTTCAAAAGATTATTTTTTTCAAGTATAGCATGAAATAAATGTTGGCTAAAGATATGCATAAGATTAGACTAACTGTGTACCCTATCCTAAGCTTGTCATTGATTTACCTACTGTTTCCTGTGCAGTGATACAGACACCCCAGTGTAAATTTATTTCCAGTTTAATTTTATTGAACAAGACACTTTAATAACAAAGATGCTTGTTGAATTAATGTTTAACAGGTGGAGGAGTTGAATCTGTAACTAATAATGCAGTCACAGAAGAAAGAAAGTACACCCTCTTGGAATTCTGAGGTTAATTATTTCAAAAGATTTTTTTTCCCATGACTTCTATGC